GAATTTCTGTCATCTCCAAGACAATTTTGTTGCTAGATTTTTTGTGTTCTGTATTCACTGCTAACAGCAGTATAGGTAGATTGTATACTAGGTTTAAAAAAAAAAAAGAAAAGAAAAAAGCAGTGAAAATGTATTTCATTTCTTTGACAAAATGTTCATTTGTCTTTCTGAAAACATACTTACTTGCTCATACAGGAAAATAATTGCATGTCATGTGAACCTTTTAGTTCTAACACTGACATTATATTCTTTACTTCTTTTTCATTCTTTTAAAAAAATTATAATTTGCCTTCTAAGGTTTTACTTCATCCTTTAGAAAGTTATTGTACCTATGTGGTTTTTTTGCCAGTTTTGTTTCTGAAAACATATTAAATTGCTTATCTCTCTAACTGATGTAGTTGCTGCTTTTACTTCCTGATGGTGTTTTCCTCTTCTGTGATGAGTAACCATCACCAGTAAATATTATTTATTTAATATTTTTATGTGTATTTTCAAGTCCTCTAAATTACAACATATAAAAATAAAGGAAAGCTGTAGACAAAAGAACGCTGAAGTCAATTTAAACCTGGCCAGCTGGCAAAGAAGAGAACTCAGGAAGTTGGCAAGGACTTAATCTGGTGCTGCTTCTTCAACTGAATGTTTACTGTGGAGGTACTTTATATGTATATTAATGTGTCAAAGTGCAAATCAGTCCATCATCCTTATTTCTCCTTTCTGTCATCTGTTGGCTCTTTTATTTCTTCACTATAATTAAAAGATCAGTAGTTCATTATGCTTGAATTCTTCATAAATGAAGGGAATTTTAAAGAATCTTCACAAATATTACAGTATCCTCACAGGAAGATATAATCCTGTGTAAGAATCCATGCAGAACTGTATCATTGCTAGACTGTATGCTGGTGCACTGCAGCTGCTCTCAGGCTCTCTAAATGAACAATTAAATGCTGTGCTGTTCTGTGAGTTCTCTCATATATATACATACTACTGTGCTGTTGAAGAGAAAAAATGAACAAAGGAAATTACCCTCGCTAAGGTCTATTAATGATCAGCCATAAATGAGTCTCACAATTTTTCCTAGGACATTGTTTTTAGCACTATCTGATTTGATAGATTATGGTGTATATTTATTTTTATTTCTATGCAAGAGCCTCCCATTATATTTCAGTGGGAGAAAATTGAGAATTATGGTGGGGTAACGATGTTACTATATTACAGCCAAAACTACATTAAATTCTTTTGAATACAGAAATTTCTTGCTAGTTTGTGTTGTATTCTTGTGTTTTTTAAAACTGTATAATTATCATTTTCCTGAAATGAGTGACCAACAGTCAGCAAAATGAATTTATTGAGGCACACAAGTAATGATTTAATTTTATTCCTCTTAAGCACTGACATGTCAGACATATGTTACAGGTTTTGTGAGCCTCGGTAGGAGAAATGGGCATTGAAACTCAGTCCCTTAACTCCTTGTTTGCTGGGAATGAGAAACAGGGTTGTTCAGAGTCCCTTATGTTTTGGTCTCAGTTTCAGGGAGATTTGCCTGATTAGAAGGTTTGTGTACATGCATTTCAGTTGTGTGATTCAGATAGCTTCACTTTCACAGGCACTGTGCTACAACATCTGTCGGAACTGTTTGAAGAGGCCAAAATTAAGTATTAGGTGTCCTAGTAGCCAAGGTTCTTCAGAATGGAGGTTTTACTTGTGAAACTGAGCTAAACTTTTGAGGATCACAAAGTGCAGCAGGCTTTCTTCCTCAAGCAAGGTTATGAATTCTAGTGTCTGTATTTCTTAATATATGATCCTAATGGAAGAGGAAAAAAACTAAGAAGTTTGATTAATGGAAGAAGCCTAGAAAGAGCTATGTATGAGAACTGATCTCGGAGCTCTTAGGCTGGAAAAAACGTCCCATTAATTTTAGTGGGAGTTTTGACTGTGCAAGGACTTTCAAGTTCAAGTGCTTTCTTGTTCATTAAAGGATAGAAGGTAATTAGAAATAAAGCACAGAAAAGATTTTATATAGTATTGCTTTTGTCAGCTGAAAAAAATCCATATTATTGTAGGAGTTTTAGGCTAATCTCTCTCCCTTTCTTGCATAAAATGATGACACAGTAGGTTGTTTTCATTACCTTAGAGGTCTGTGCTTCTATCTGTTCATTTTATTGGGAAAGAGCAATTGGCAAGTTTTTTCTCTGTTATCTTCCTTGCTGTTGGATTGCAATCTCATCTTTGATGCTGACTTTGTCATTTCTCTCTTCCATCCAAACTGTTTAGCTCAAGATATTCCCATAATATTTTTGTTTGTAAATGTTGGATGATAAATGAAATAAAAAGCTAGTGTGCATTATGGCTGAAGGATTTTGCTGATGTCAGCTCATGAAATAGAGGAACAGTTGGAGAGAAAAAGATAAAACTGTACTAGAAACAAATCTTGCATGTTTTATAATATCTTAAATTATGCTGACTTTTGAACAAGTTTTAGGGAAGAAGCTATATATTCTTAAGACCTCTTGAATGCAACTCTGAAGTTTAAATGTATGGCAGTCATGAGCCGTTTCAGGAATCATGAATTTAGGTCATCATCTGATGGGAGTACTTTCTACACTGACCTCAGGTACAAAGGACTAATCTTCTGTTAGAACTTCATACTTTGTAATACTTAAAAATGAATTTATTTTACTTGTTCCTTACAACTACTTTTCTTCCTCTCCTCCATATCAAACCCTTTTTTTCCTCATCCTCTAACTGTAATTTGTTTGTGTGAAGAGTATGGTCCAAGTTTAATTCCAGTTGGAATTGCCTCTGGAAGGCTGAGAGCAGGGATTTCTTTCTGTGCTGATGGGCACAGGGAAGCTGTAAAAGATGGCTGGGGATCCAGAGAAACTATAGTGAAGCTGTTGCTTCCCTGGTGCTCTTTGCTGTCCCTCCAATACATAGTGATCTTAATCATTTCCAAAAGCAAGGAAAAATGAGAAAGACATATTTCACTTCTGATGTGGCAGTAGTCTGCTTTTTGTAGAAAAAAGGCATTGTATTTTATGATGCCATGAATTTGTCTTTTCAGTCTGCAAATTGTTACATGAATGAGATGTTATTCCTGGTCATTCCTGTTTTATTTTGATGGTCTCCCCAAGCTTTCAACTAGCAAAGGGGATGGGAGAAATATTCATTATTTGTTGTGATGGAAATCTGTCTTGTGATTCCTTTCCAGTTATTTTCAGGTAACTACTTACTATTTCTGCAAAGTGACTTATTTCAGTAAAGGTAACTTTCTAACAGCTAAGGAGGTATTAGGTGATATGGACTCTGATTACAAGAACTCATCACTTTATCAAAGTGGATAAAACTGTGCAATATACATTCTAAAAAGAGAATTTGGTCCACAGGGGCTCCTTTTTTGCTTTTTTTACCAGTTTAATTTTATTGCCTCTAGGTGAATTGCTCTTCATTTGTACTCCTGTAAATGAGGGAAACAATCATAGGTAAAGGAGATACAGGCATTCTCAGTGGTTTTACCTTACTGTTAAGCTACCCTTAATAATATCTATGGATTATGTAAGTGCCTTTTCATTCAGAGTGTAAGACTAAGTAACATTTCTGCTTGCTTAAGACCAAAACCATTTCTGATTGTTTAAAGTATTTTAATTTGAGGTTTTTTAGGATTTTTTCTTTTTTCTTTTTTTCTTTTTTAATTTTAGATGGCAAAGAAGGGACTTCCTGAACTTAGCTGAAAATGTGACTTCAGGTATCAGAGGAGAATACTTTTGCTAGATAAAATACTCAGAATGACTTTTTGCTTTCAAGGGGATTTCTTGGAAAAGCTTTCAAAACTGTGATACAATTCTCAAAGAACACAGAGCTTGTGTAAAATATCCGAGGTGCCTGTTGGGAGTACTTTGGAAGAGACATGTGTTTTCCATTGCAAGTAAAAGTACTATTTGATGTAAAGTTTTCTGAGGATTTTGCTCACTATACAGTGGTAAAGGAGCAGATAAACCATTCTGTACAGAATACTAATGTTCTTTCTGAATACGGTGCTTGCTTGCTTGCAATTTGGGCATATTACTCTACAGAGAATGGATTTGAAATTGTCTGACTTCCCAAAAACATTACTCTTAACGTAATGTTCTCTCTCTGGGAAGCTTTCGTTTCTCAAATAAAATAGAACAGTGCAAAGGCCTGGTGCTGGGTTGATACCTGTCTGACTGTCCTTCCAAATGCCTATGTTGCTCTAACTTAGATAGTTCAGATAGTTCAGTTCATGAACTTAGTTCAGTTCATGGTCCTATTCTTCTGTCAGCTCAGTTTGTCTAGGAGTAAGCAGATTTGACGGTACTGCAAACTTGGTAACCTACCTAACTTTCCCTCCACAGTTCTCTTACAGTCACATATGCACAGAGTCTTTATGACTCTAGTCCTCGGAGATGTGATATTTTGGGGTGTCTGAGTATTATACTCAGGAGGGAACCTGAAGTCGTACATAGTGCTATTTATATTCAGCAGTTAGTAACAGAGCATGAACATCCATTAATGCTCCCACATTAAACACAGCTTTAACTGCAGTTTTAAAGATATGATGGTTTTGCTTTTTAGAGTCTTGAGGTTGATTAATAATATCTTAATAAAAAGCTTAATAGTGCATTAAACTAAAAAAAAAAGAGAAAAGTTTCTTCTTATCATGAGTCAACTTGGTAGTTGACTAAATAGAACAATAAAAACCCTCTGAAAATCTGTTGTCTGACTGCAGCAAAATGTTATACAATCAGCCTTCAGAAACCACTAGCATTTTAAATGTTAGTACCCATGTGTTTGGTAACACTAGGCTGTGGCCTCTGAAGTTTGCGAACCCTCATAAAAAGTTATTTATCTGTCTTCAGTAGAAATTTGCTCACATTTTGCTTTCTATATTACCAATATTGGGCCATTGGGGAGGTGGGTAATCTGAAGATCTGTAGCAAGAATGACACATCTTTTTTATTTAAATATTATTGCTTTTTAGGCACTGAATTTTGGAGATATGCCGAAGTACTTGTGGGAGATTTGGGTACCTGACAAACCATGGGTGGTAAGATATCAGATCCACTGAAATAAATAAACATTTAATTTTTGAGATAGGTATTTTGGGCCCTGCTGTCACTGGAATCAATGGGCAAAATTCCTGCAGGGCTCATAAGAAGTGCATTACTTGCAAATCTATGCAAGGGTGTTTCCATTCTTTTCAATGTTGTCACACTGCTGTAAAGTTGAAATAATGCCTGTAGTAAACTAGAACTCTGCAGTAGCATCTGACAGGGCGAAGAGAGAATTGCTCATCTGAAGTTTATAAGACCAGTTCTCTTTTCTTTACTCAGACAAGTAACCACAACTCAGACAAGTAACCACAAGCAAGTGGTTACTTATTGCCTCTCAGCGCAATTAGTGGTTCACAGATGGTACTGAATAGTACCTTTCTCCAGGCATCCTCTTGAAAGTCTTGTTTAGCACTTGCACTCAACTCCAACCCAGTAAGCCAAGGAACATAACAATCACCTTTTGAGCACCACGTGGACTTCTCAGAAAATGAGTCTGGCAGATGCTGTTTGTCCTCCACTATCAGAGTCAGTAATCAGAGAAGAACTAGAGTTCAGTGCTCTGATTTCTAAAGCCCTGCATTAAGGAGGAACTATGGTCTATTCAGATGGGTGCTTTCTTTGCTGTGCAGAACTCCAGTCCAATCTGTTGGTTTCCACACTGGATTTTTGTGTGAAATACAAGAATGTAGAATCTGTCTGTACTTTTTAAAGAGAGTCTCTCCAAAATTACTACCATGTAGAAGTTCAGAAATTCCAATTGTTTTAAAGGTTGCAACTAATAAATGCAATTTAAATTTAGTTGTATTTTATGATATATTTAGTCACATTTGTTAAACTATTCAAATATAAAATTACACTAAAATGTTGTTTCCTTTATAATATAGGCCTCATTCCCCAAAACTAAGCACTTTTTAGCAATGGTTTCAAGCTACATCAGAAGAAAATTTCCTGAAAACTGGAGTTTCCAGTATCAATTTTTAAATTTAAAACTACATTTTCTAACTACCTACTGGGTGTTTGAATTTTTAGACTTAGTAGAATATTTTAGCTTCAGTGTAGGCATTTCAGAGATAAGGGCATTGCTTTCAATTTTTAATGTGAAAAATATTCTGAATAAACTTTGTTGAATCTCTATAAGTGTGCTATAAAATTGATACAGATTAAAAAAATCTAGATATTTATCTGTCTCCTTTCTAAAGGTAGAGAATGTGGTGGTTATAAATTAATTCATTGCCACAATAATTTTGAAGGAAATTTTCAGGGAAAAACAGGCATTATACCGAATTGAGACTAGGTATTTTAAAGTGAACACAGTAATAAGTGGGATTCACAGTTGGACTAGATGATCACAGTAGGTGCTTTCCAAATGAAATATTTTATTCCATTCTATTCAGCTCCAGACACTAGAAATCTAGGTGTCTAAAGGTATATATAAATTCTTATTATGGCAATAGAGAATGGACAACACTGAGGTGGATTCAGGCAATAGAATACCATATGAGACTAAACGTGCACATACGTTCTTAGCTAACCTTTGGTATATCTTTTCTTTTGTGTAAGTGCTGAGTACAATGTTTCATCACAAACTGTCAAATCTAATATTTTATTTTATATTAATTTTAAAATAAAAAATCCTGGGGTACTTTTTTATTTAAGTCTGTAAGAACAATATATATGTAATCCTTCATGGCTGAGTCCACTTTTTAAGGGAAGGTATATTATTCTATACATCACATTGTAAAAGCTAGTCTTTTAAGAGTTATACATGTTAGGGAAAGGTTTTTTAGGAAGTTGGATGCTAATTGTTAGAAAGTAAATTCTAAAGTAACTAAACAGGAAGAAAGTTCTAAGCTTTTAAGCTAATTTATGGAAGATTCTATGGAAGTGTCTCAGCCTTTCCCTAAGAATTGTTGCTCTTTGTCAGACTAATTTTTTTCAGCTGGGTTCAATACTTAAAGATATTTAAACAAAAGGATAAAGTATTTCCCATGCTTGTTCTAGTTTTAAAAAATTGAAAAATTTATTCTCTTTACCAGCTGATCATCATCATGGCTAGGCTTCGCGAACGAAGATTTGGGAAGGCTCTATCCAGCTGATAGTGGGCATGGAAAACCTTTTTTTATGGCTGACAACTAACTGGCTAATCAATTTAATTAAAGCTTCTTTTTTGTGCCTGTGAATGTTAGGATTTGAAAAAAATCCTCCAACCTGTTACTTATTGAAAGCATTTTAGGTATTTTAATTTGTTTTTATGATTTTTATATTGATAGATGTTCATAGTCTAAGAAATAACTATGTTGATGATCTGGAGAGTGAATGAGGACTGCACATTTTGCAGTGCATTACTGAGTATGAATAAAGTTGTATTCTTGCTTTTTTTAAAGACGGCTGAATTACCTGTGAGTACTTTGCACATCTAAATAGCAATTACACAGCCTCTTTCAAAAGGATTCTTGGCAAAGCAAATCTCCATTAACATTGTATGTAATAGAATCAAAAAACCCTCTTAAAACAAGTTTCAGACCTAATGGATTTTCTATTTCTTGAAGTTCAGTTTTAGTCATTGCCTTTAATGTTGGTGGTATCTGGACCTAAATATTAGATGCTGAAGCTCTTAGGTAAATGTCTCGTACCTGATAAGCTGCAGTGAAGGCTGCATGATTTTGTGGGGGAACTGGGCTGGGGTGGGATGGATGCAGGAATGGAAACACAGCACTCAGTGATGAATAATCGAAAATGTATTTAGAGTGTGGGAGAGATGAAAGCATGTGAATAGCAATTTGTCTTTTAAGAAGCCTATTCTACAACACAAACACATCCATACACACACACACACACACAGACACACACAGACACACAGATACTAGTTAAAGCTGCATTTCCTTCAGCCCAATTCAGACCAGCATGCAGGGGTACAGGAGACACACTCCAACTGCGCACCCTGTCTGGGTCCTGGTTGTCAGCCGGTCTTGTGTGTGCATGGTTCAGGCTCAGCCTTCCGTGAGATGCTCCATGCCCGTGGATGCGTCCACTCATGAGGACTTATTGTCTTAATTCTTTATGGATTTATAAATCATAGTGTTGGCAGAAGCCACTATAAGCCAAACTAGCCATGTGGCCTCACTAGTTACATAGCCTCAGGCCACTCTCCTTGATATCATCCAACCATAAGGCCAACTAGCAGTGGTCACTGAGGTTTCTATCACTCTGGTCTCCTAGCCTGCCTGAACCAAATGTGTTACAGAAGTGTGAAGTCAGCAACAATTGCATAATAGAGTTTAGCTAGTGCAGCTTTTTTCTACATCTCATACTAGGCTAATTTTGTTACTTGCAGATGGGCAGATGTAGTCATGGTTCCGTTTTCTGAGCAATGCTTTTGAGTAGACTCTTATCTTCTGACATGTGATCAAAATGATCCCTTCTAGGAATATAATGATACTTTGGCATTGACAACATTAACATCTGTTCCTTGGGGGTAGAAACACCACCTCCCACCCCAACACATTAACACACAAATCTGGGAGTATGGATGTACAGGAGGGAGAAAAAAAAATATAGAATGATCAAAAGGAGAGGGAAGATTTGAGCACGATTATGAGCTCAAATCTTTTGGCTGAGCCCGACCTAAGAATCTTTCTTTGAGAGAGGAAAGAGATGCAGAGCTGTAGGAAACGGGCTAAGGTTAAAGAAAAGAATCTGAGACTGTTCAAATATCTCATTTGGCTATATTCCACATAAATGACTTGATTTCCAAACAGTAGATTGTGGAGGAATATTTGTTTCCCTGTAAAAAGAAAAAAAAAAAAAAAGAAGAAAAAAAAAAAAAGGAGTTTTTCTCTGCTCCTCAAACTACATGACAATAAGTACTTGAGTCAGGATTCTGAGAAGTGGAATGTTGTGTACATTTTAATTTTTGGAGTCTGCATATAGAGATATTGTTATTAACCCTGGCAGAAGTTTTCACAGTTTTTATTTTATTCTGATCATAACTCTTTGTTTCTATTAACTAGTAAAAGAAGTATCTTAGCTTGGATGTAGTTCAGGAATATTGGACAAACACTGATCTTCTTTGTGATTAGATTTTATTATGTCTTTGTTTTCAAAAGTAAGCTTCTATGCAGTTTAGAACTATCGTTAAAATTAATTGTGAAACAGCTCTTTCTATATAGATTCTGGTCAATGAGGTACTGCTCTCGTATCTCAAATGTGCTTGAAGTGAAACTGAGTAACCTCAGGTTTATATAAAAATAAATGTTTACATATATATCTTGACTTCATTTCTCTCCCTAAGTAGCAGCATGCAATGTACTATTCTCATTTTTGATTCACCCCCCTTGGTGCCTGAACCTCCCCTTAGGGATTCCAACTGTTTTCCTCTCCTGCTGTAATTGAAATGAAACTTGTTGCAGCCTGTAATTGGTAGTGAATCTAACCATCTATATGTTTTATATGAGACAGATGCACAGCAGAAGCACGTGAAGTGGCATATGGAAAAGCAAGTGCCCTACTGGGGCAAAGACAGATCCACTCCTGTTTTGTTAAACAATATTCCAATACTTTGATCAACTAGTTCACCTACATTTTAGTAAGTTAAGAAATATTTGTAGAAAATTTGGAGTATATGCAATGTATTAATTTAAATGGTTAGGCCATATCTTTATGTCCTTATAAGGAACTGTGCTTCCAGACTACTCTTACATATTTACTTTGCCTGCTCTTTTCTCTTGAGATGTTAAAGAAAAGTATTCTAGTTTCTGTCTCAGTGTTGTTATGACAGATGTAATGGCTCATAAGAGAATGTAAATCTAGATGTTCTCTCTCACCCTTGTTTTGGCATCTAGTGCAAATCATAATCTTATATAAAGAGTGCATCTTTTTGTCTCTGGGTGAAGACATTTGCTAAGAGTCTGCCATTGGAAGCAGGATGCTGCTGTCTGTCAGTATTCCAATACATTCCTGTTTTTCTTTCTCTCTTTAGTCATATAATGCTTCC